CCAACACTTCTCTGCACAATCACCCCATTAAATCCCATACTTTGTTGCAGCTCTTTAGCATTTGTCAGCCAGCCTTTGTTAATTCGTCCTTTTTGCTCTTTCTTATCCTGTGGGGTTTTGACACGTGGGACACCTGATTCATGCCACCTCATGCTCAGGTTGGTCCAGTTCTTGTTTGAATTTTGATGATCTTGCAACAGTAGGATCAATATCGTATTGTTAGTGTTTGTTTGGTGAAGTAGCTGTTGGAGAATGGTCCCTAAGCCACGACAAACATAAAATTTGCATTCTGCATACAATGATATAAAGAACAAAGTGTACAATCCTAGTCATTACATGTTGGTGGTTTTTGGAAAAAAAAAGTGCTATTCATATGTTGAAAATTAACCTAACTCGATTATTGGAAATTTGAATAGAAGTGGTGATAAATCAAACTTCAATGAGAATTTACACCTAGTATTATTCACAAAACAATTATTGAGATGCCACAATGGGTTATTACAATATGCTATCTTGTCTAAAATTATTGGATAATGATGGTTGTATACCATGCCCTCCCTCACATGTGAGGGGGTCCATCATGAATAAAAAATTTGTGGACCCTCCTCTATGCGAAGGGAATGTACACCAAGCAAAGTCCAAAATTATTACTCAAGTTTCTTTTTGACACAACATCACATCACGACCACGTCTTCTTTATGAAGTAGAATGTATTGTACAAATTATAGCCTTTTACTTTCTTCACATCATTGTTAAAATCACCTATTTGTCTCCAAAACCCTAATTTAATTACAAAAGCTGAAAGTCCTGATTTTCTCAGCTATATGAATGACTAAAAAGTTAAAAAAAGTAAAATATTTAAAGTTTATGCCTTCCCACATTTTAAGAAAAGCTAGACCAGAGGGTCAAAATTGTTATGGCCTGGCCAAGGCTCAAAATCAGTGACGGAGCTCAGACATTTAAATGGGAGAGCGAACAAATATTGAAACAATGAAATATACATTATTACGTATACATCAAAAAACTTAAAACTTTCTACATAAAATTAAAATATTTCAAGAGTAATTGTCGTCCCACCTCGTCCCACCTCCTATGGCTTTTCCACATCTCGTCCCACTCCATTCGAGTACGTGTCTTCCTAGTTGGCAAGTGTTGAGTATTTACTTAACATGCACAGTGGAAATAAAATAATTTTCAATTCTCAAACGAGGATCTAGAATGTGTTTAGATAAAAATTGTGATGAGAATGATACCTTTGATGAATTCCACAAACTCTTTTGCTTTTTCTTGAACTCC